CACCCACACACACACACACACACACACACACACACACACACACACACACACACCAAGTTCAATTAAACATGTTAATGAGCAGGCCAGGTGGTAATAACCTGTTTACTGGGACTAATTGTCCTGAGCAGTCTCCTCACACCTGGCCTCTACAGAAGGTGAGAATGCCACGAAATGTTGGATGTCCACGTTTCAACTCTGTATGGGCACTTACAGCAGCCAGAACTCTCTTAAGTGCTTTCAAAGCATTTTTGGGAGGAAAAAAAAATCTACAAACAATAACCTCTTCATGGCAGCCATTGTTGTTCCCAGCTATTTCTAGAAAAACCAAAAAATAATAAAATAAGTCAATAAAAATTTGATAAATGAACAGCAAGCTGCATTCCAGTGGTTGAATACCTATTTCTATTCAGTCATGCCCGATGTTATTTTCCATCCAGAGAAAATAAAGAAAGACATCTCTTGTTGTTGCAATATAGCAATTGTCCACAAAATGAAAGACAAAATAGCCCAACAACACACACTCCCTTCTACCTAAATGTCACTTGAAATAATCACTTCTTATGAATTTTCCCTTCAATGCCAAAAGTTCACTGATATAACACAATGGCATTTTGGCTACGGTAAAATCTGACTCTGAAAATGTTGTGCTTTTCACAAATAGTCTGTTCTCATATAACTTTCCAACCTTATATATCTGACCTTTATCTTATAGAATTCATGTCTTGCTGAAAGTGTTAAAGGTTGTATTTTATTAGACGACTCTGGAATCTGAATTCTCGATTCTGATTGGCCAGCGTGTTCCTGTTTCTCATATCATACTATTTCATACACATCTGGCAGCATCTTGCATATGAATGAGAAATGATAGTGAAAATGACCTCAGAAGATGGTTTTCTACATTGTAATGTACTTTTTTTTAAATATGTTTTAATAATATAGATACAATTTGTAATAATTAATAATAGTAGTGCATTTATTTATTAATTAATATTATCAACTTGGTATTTTGGCACAAATTCATCTGTCACTTGGTACAAACCCTTTTAAAGTTCAAGTGACATTTAGAAACAAACACACAAAAAATTGAGAATTTAAGAGTTAAATGTGAAAT